CAAAAGGGAAACTCAACCTAGACTCTACTCCCCCTCACTTAAAGCGTTTTGCCTCAAAACGTAAAATTAAAGTGCAAGAGAAGGAATAGAGTACTCCTAGAATTTAATGACGACATGGTTCCCTTAGAAGTGTGCTAACGTGCGGCGTAGGGAGTCAACGGTATCGATACCGTCAGAGGGGTATCGATGCCACTATATAGTAGTATCGATACCATTTGAGGGTATTGGTATCATATTTCGATTATGTTTCCACGGTATCGATACCGTCAGAGGGGTATCAGTACCACACTGCTTGCAAGCCATTACATGGTCCCAGGGTCTGAATTTGGCATTATTCAAATGGTAATCTCTCAATTCTTCGTTGTTTAAGTTTGAAACACATTCGGTTCCTGCAAAATAATAATAAAAATTAAATGAAACATGCTTAATCAAAATAAAAATAAAAATTGAAAATGTAACGGAATTAAAAACAATAGGATGCCTCCCATGAAGCGTTTTGTTTAACATCGTTAGCTTGGCGACCTGATTCAGACTACAGGTTCCGTGACAAACACTTCCACTTCATTCTCTTTTTCCAACTAAGAAATTCCTTATGAGAAATTAGAAAATTCTCATAAAGATTTCTTCAGATATTTCCCAAATTAAAAATCTTGTTGAAAAGAATAGCCGTCAAAACATTTTTTTTTACCAAAAATTGATTTCTTCAAATGATTCCTCAATGGTTTCAACTTAATTTTTGGTGCCTGCAAAAGGAAGGTAAATCTTTAGGCTTTAAAGGAGTTAAGATCAAATCTGAATCAACAACTGAAATATTTTTCAACTCCCTTATGTCGTCTTTTTTATCATCCGATTTCCTATATAAATCATCAACAAAGTTAGATTCATCATTAACAAGTTAGTAACGCCAACAAAATTAATAATATGCATGTTATCTGGATATCTCATTGGTATATAAACATCAAATTTTCCGATCTCACCGTCTAACTCCATAGTAAGAATATCGCTTCGAACGTCAATTTTTGCATTTGCCGTGCTCAGAAAGGGACGACCAAGGAGAATTTCAGAATGAATGTTACTATGATCATTTTCCATATCAACCACATAAAAATCAACAGGAAAATTAAGTCTTCTACCTCTACTAGAACATATTCTATGAGTCATTCAGGATAAATAATTAATTTGTTGGCGAGCTGAAGTGTAACTCTCGTCTTCTTTAAAGGCTCGATTGAAATTAAATTATAGACGGAGAGAGGCATTACATTGATAGAGGCACCTAGATCGCACATAACTCACTTGCTTTTAACCTTACCAATTTTACAAGGTATTGAAAACATACCTTGATCCTTATACTTTGGTGGAAGCGTCGTTGGAAAACTGCTGAGACGTTCTCACCTAAATTCACCTTTTCGTTTCCGGTAAGTCGCCTTTTATTAGTGCATAGATCTTTAAGGTATCTGGCATACCTCGGTACTTTTCGGATTAACTCAAGAAGCGAAATATTTATTTCCATTTTCCGTAATACATCCATGATTTCTTTCTCCTCTGATTGTTTGTCTCTTTTAATGAATATTTCAGGAAAAGGAGGCGGAATGACATAGGGAGATGGCGTAGAATTAGTTTCTGAATCATCTTTATTTTTTTTCTCGGGATTCTATGAAAAATGCTTCTTCTTCCCTCTAGGAGTTCAAATTTTCTTCTTCTTTTGGATCTTGCGCTTACTTCCTTTGGGTTTGGTTGTTCAATAAATGTACCGCCTCGGAGGGTGATGAAGCTAACATTCTCTCTTGGATTCGGCTCAGTTTGTGATGATAACCTCCTTTGTGATTCTAATCTCCCCACGGTTTGAGTCAGTTGGCTCATCTTCTTGCCTATCTCTTGGAAATGGGCTTTAGTACGAATCTGGCATTTTTCCTAGGAAAGTGCTAACCTCTCGACAATTGACTTTAATGATGTCTTCTGCGGCTGTTGTGGTGGTGAAGGTGGTCTCACTTGATAATCTTGATTCGACATTGAGTTTTGAGCATAACTAAAATTCAGATGATCCCTCCATCCTGGGTTGTAAGTATTGCCGTAGGGATTGTAAGCTCTTTGGGGAGGTCCTGGAAAGTTTATAACTGCATTGACTTGAGTTGCTACATCATCTTGAATCAGTGGACAGTCGTCTGTCGGATGATCAGATAATGCACATATTCCACACGATCTGTTTGGTCCCGTCTTTCCTGCAACAAGAGATTTAATGACTTCAGTTAACTTATTTATCTTATTTTCTAAGGAATATGAACTTATCTCATGAACCCTTTGAGGAGGTTCATTATTTGTGCGAAATTGTTGGGAATTTACAACCATTGTGGAAATTAAGTCCCTAGCCTCAGTAGGAGTCATATTCACCAAGGCACCACTGTTGGCAGCATCTATCATCTTCATTTCCAATGGAGTTAATCCTGCATAAAAGTATTGAAGGAGTGTTTGTTCAGTTAACCCATGTTGTGGGCAACTAGAACATAACTTTTTAAACTGCTCCCAGTAGTCGTAAAGTGACTCTCCATCAAGTTGCCTGACTCCAAGTATTCTCCTTCGTAGTTCACTTACTTTCGCCTCAGGGAAAAACCTATCAACAAAAAGACAAGTCATTTGAGCCCATGTAGTAATAGAATTAGGGGGAAGATAAAATAACCACTCCTTAGCCGATTCAGCTAAGGAAAAATGAAAAACTCTAAGTTTTATTTGATCCTCGATTACTCCCTGTGGTCTCATGCTAGAGTAGACCATGTGAAATTCCGTGAGATGTTTGTGTGGATTCTCGTTTGGCAATCCGCGGAATGTAGGGAGGAGATGAATAAGGCCAGTTTTTAACTGATACGAAGTTTCACCATGGGGAAAATCAATGCACAAAGGCTCTTGTTCAGTAGGTGTCGCGGCTAACTCTCTGATAGTAGGATCGGCCATCGGAATTGGTTCTGTATCAACAGATTCACCTGAATTTGATTATTGTCTTCTTATTTCCCGAAGCATCTGTTCGTGAAGTCTCCTAACTCTGGCTTTGATCTCCGGGTCGTACTCCACTAATGCGCCCGGATTAGTCCTAGTCATAAATCAAAAGCAAACAAAAAATTAGTAACTTTGACAAAGTCCCCGATAACGGTGCCAATTTGACAACTGTCGTTTCGATGTAAAAATAAATTCATTTTTCTCAATTAATAAATAAGGAAATACGTAGTAAAGAGAAATAAGAGTCGATTCCACAGGGACTTAGACAATTCCAAATTTTTGTCTGAATTTTTAAAACATGCGTGAAAGTAGTAAATGAGGGGTTTTGGTAAAAAGATATTTAAATAATAATAAAAGTGATTTGAAGTAAAAATAAAGCAAAGATTTTAAGTCGAAAAATAGATATGGTAAAAATAGCCTCAAGCTTCGCTTTGACTCAATTTCCCTTAGATCATCGAATTAGATTTTCCCTTTGAGATTCACGTCGGTTACTTTGTCTCCAAGGGCAATTCTTATGACTCTATTTTGTATACCGAATACCCAAGGCAATCTTTGATTCCGGCTTCGGAAACTGATCTAATCAACATCAATTGTCGTAGATCAATTACCGTTTAAGTTCGTGGCGATCGACTCTGATTGTTGCTTCTATAACCGTCAATTCCGATCTCAATTCCCTCTTGGCGAAGCTATCTCGCCAAGTGTGTTACCAGGAAGTCGAATGTGCTTTCAATAAACCGATCCTTCCGCCCACACGTTTAATCGCAACAACAATCTAGTCCAAAGTCTATCTTTGATTTTGAAAACTATTTTGATTTTGAAAAATAAGCGCATAGATTAAGAGAGATATTCTGAAGTTATTAAGGGTCTGTTTCAATTCTCCCGTTGGAATTGAGTCATCGCTTCAACTCTCGACTTGTGAGAAAAACGAAAAACTTGAAAAGTAAAATAAAAAAGAAAGCTTTAATAAAACTAGAAATAAGAAGAGAATTGTAATCTGAGATGTGTGTTTAGGCTTATCCCAAGAGGGTATTTATAGTCTCTCAAAGCTTAAGGATAAACAAATAAATTAAAATAAAATAATACTAAAGATTATTGTTTTTTCTAAATTCAAACTCCAAACAAGTCTCCTAATGCAACTCTGCTCGTCCATCTTCTAGAAGGCGCGCTGAGTAAATCTTCTAGAAACCGTCACTAACTGGACCTTCTAGAAACTGTCACGTCAGACCGTGTCGTGCCTAGAGTCGTGCCCAAATAATAATAAAAATGCAGAATAAGCCCATTTTACCACTAGTTCTGGAAAGTAAGGATTTGCACGAAAATAAGCATAACACAACCAAATTAGCAGCAATAAAGCCACAAGATTGAAGAAATAACGAGAAAATATTAACGATTCTGAACACCCATCTATCTCACTTGTTGACCCTGGACTTGAATGGGATGCTTTATTCTTTGATAAACCGGTGATTTACCCCCACTTTTACTGCTTTCCAGTATTTATTTTTTATATCATGGCTCTCCTATAGCTACCAAATATCATGATAAGCTTCCTTTTTCTTTCATTATTTTTTATATCATTATTTCTTTTATTCTGAACATTCATTATTTTTTATATCAGTGCTGGTTTGGTTGATTATTTCTTCTTTTGAAGCGCTTTTGTAATTTGGCATGCAGGTCATGCTTCTTGGTTTTGTGCTCCTGGGACGTTCTTTGGAAGAAAGAGCAAGGATTACGGTATCCAATGACATGAATGAACTTTTAGTGAGTCTCAAATTACTTTCTTCTTGTGTTATTATACTTCTCGTCATGCTTGGTGGTCGATGACCTCTGGCTTAAAGAATACAGATCCTTAAAACTAACTAAGATATAACATGCTTTTATAATATCACTCATCTTAATGTCATTCCGTTGATTTCACATATGAGATCATTGGTTTTGCAGTCACTAATATCCACTCAGTTAAGGCTCGTGATTACTTCATCATACACTGATTCCTCTGCTGATTCTGCACTTTGCTCAGATGCTATTCGAGTTGGAGACTCGGTTTTAGTTTTGCCTGGAGAAACAATTCCTGTAGATGTAAGTCGGGAATGTGTTTTAAGATAAAATTTGGTACATTATGATCTGCTTCATAAACTTGGTCCATGTACAGAAACTCCCTTAGTATTTTCAGTTAAAGTCAACAACATACTGATAATGATATGAGACTAAGATGAAACTTTTGTAATCTCTGTATTATTAAATTTACCATATATATGGACTTATGCTGAAACTAGAAATCTCCACACAGGGAAAAGTTCTTGCAGGAAGAAGTGTGGTTGATGAATCCATGCTGACTGGAGAATCACCTCCAGTATTCAAGGAAAAAGGTCTTATGGTCTCTGCAGGAACAATAAATTGGGTAAGAAATTTTGAGGAATATAATTTAGAAATGCTCTGGCTTACGCCACTAGCTTTTTCTTTAGAATGAGATATACTTTACAATTGCTTATTTCAGAGATATAGCAATAACTTTAGTAGTAAAATGCATGGGATTGCTTGGGATAATTAGAGATGAATAAGTATTTTTAGAGAAAGATTAAATGTTGGTATTAGTCGGATATTTTATAAATTATATCTTAAGAATATTAGATTGAACCCTCTACCCATGCAATCATCGTTTATGTTTATGAATGTTCTTTTTCAGGATGGTCCTTTAAGGATAGAAGCAACTTCCACTGGCTCCAACTCAACTATTTCTAAGATTGTACGCATGGTTAGTGCCCCAGTGAACCTTTTTTATTGGATTAGTCAATAGCATAACTAATATCAATAGCATAACTAATATCAAATAATAAAATAGTTGGAATCTTATCCATGGTTAAAGTTGACAATTTTATATGCACTTCATTTCTTGTTCTCCTCTCCTGATCATTCCCCCCAAGTTAATTGTATTCCTTTTCCCCAAACTTTGTTCCATTCTAGAAGTATAATTTCTGCATTAACTTACTGATTTCTTCAGTTACCATTTCTCCATGCTATTTTTATAACTCAAACCAGATTATTCTGGTCCTGTGGGTTTTTGTTTTAGTTGGTTATAAATGTTTTTTGCCTCTTAGCATCCTGCATATTGTGTACTGGCTAATCTTACTTGTCTTTCTCCTTGTTGCTTTCTCTGTCCAGGTATTATGCTGTGTCGCACATATTTCCAGATGTTTTGCTCAATGATATTGCTGGCCCTGATGGAGATCCTTTGCTTTTGAGTTTGAAACTTGCAGTGGATGTCTTAGTGAGTTTTCTTATGTTTATACGTGTTTCTTCTCCAGCTTATTGCCTAAATATTAGTTGCCTGATTGTTTACATTCTTTACCCATTTGATTGCCAAGAAAGTTCTCTGTTATGACAGTAGTCTCAATATGGGAAGAATTGCTTAACTTGGTAGCACTTCAAGATAGTTGCTTGAATAGATGTAATATTTTTATTAGAGAATTGTCACTGAAAGTTATTTGTGCAAAACAAATTTTATTTGCACTACCAGTTTGTAATGCTGGTTTTTGCTTTCCAGGTTGTTTCCTGCCCTTGTGCTTTGGGTCTTGCCACACCAACAGCAATCCTTGTTGGCATCTCCCTCGGTAATTATCTAGCATGTAAATAAATATTGATTTTGATGCATTTTCTGTTGAATTTGAATAATAGCATGCATACTGGTCATATAACGTTTTTCCTTTGCATTTTACAATCAACAGCTAACTCTGTGTTTCGGCAATGAAACTCATCAGCAGCAAGACAAGGACTGCTTATAAGAGGTGCAGATGTTCTAGAGCGCTTGGCCAATGTAGACCATGTAGCTTTTGACAAAGTACTTTACCCTAAAAAATAATGCTCTCTCTCTCTCTCTCTCTCTCTCTATATATATATATATATATATAATGTGCTACATTAGAAGTTCACTACATTACTCTTTTTCAATGTGCAGACAGGGACTCTCACTGAAGGAAAACCCAGTGTCTCTTCGGTGGCTTCCTTTACTTATGATGAATCAGAAATTCTTCAAATTGCTGCTGCAGTAGAGAGAACGGCATCACATCCAATTGCTAAGGTGTTGAAATGACTCACAATTTACTGGACTAAGGCAATGGTATAAATCAGAAGGTGGTTGCGACAGTTGGAAGCCAAAACTAACTCAGTTATAACTGTCATTGACTTTGACAGTTGGTTGCTGAACCGATCAACTTGGAGGGGGTCTTTAGTTATAAATAAAGATATAAGTGAGTTGAGAGGGTTCAAGGAGAGATCAGATTGTATTGAGAGATTTAGAGAGAGTTCTTACTTCCGGTTCTAAATCTTGTAATCTTGTTTCGTTTGCTTTAGTGAAATTGATTCCTTCCTGTGGATGTAGGTCACACTGACTGAACCACGTAAATATTTTGGTGTTCTTGATTTTCTGGTTTGTTTTCTGGATTCTTGTTCTGTGTTCGTTCTTCGGATAATTATTGGTAGATTGCACAACAAGTGGCGCCGTCTGTGGGAACAAATCAACGACGATGGGATCTGCCAAGTTTGATATCGAGAAATTCACCGAAAAGAATGACTTTGGCCTATGGAGAGTGAAGATGAGAGCCCTTCTAGTACAACAGGGAATTGTGGAAGCACTGCAAGGACCAACAGCGTTGCCTACTGAGATGCTCGAAAAAGAAAGAAACAATATCTTGGAAAAGGCTCACAGCGCGATAACTCTGAGCCCTAGTGATAAAGCTCTAAGGGAAGTGTCAAGAGAGACAACAACTCAGGCACTCTGGGCTAAACTTGAATTACTCTATATGACTAAATCTCTAGCCAATAGACTCTTCTTAAAACAACGCCTGTACTCCTTCAAGATGCATGAAGAGAAATCAATCTCAGATCAGATTGATGAGTTTGCTAAGATCATAGATGATCTTGAAAACATTGATGTCAAGATGGAGGACGAGGATAAGGCTTTACTGTTGTTAAACTCTATACCCAAGAGTTATGAGCATTTCAAAGATACAATGCTTTATGGAAGAGTGCAGACAATTTCACTAGATGAGGTTCAATCGCTGATTAGAGCCAAAGAGCTTAAAAAGAAACATGATATGAATGAGGAGAACAGTGTAGATAGTCTTACTGTTAGAGGAAGATCATATAGAAGAGACTTGAGGAACAATCAGAACAGATCAAGATCGAGAAAAGGAAAGAAAAATGGAAATTAGTCATCAAAGGGACCGTTCAAGTGTTACCACTGCCATAAAGAAGGCCACTTCAAAAGGAATTGTCCTGACAGAAAGAAAAAATATCAAGAAAAGCCAAAAGATTCAGGAGAAGTAAGTGTAGTCTCTGATGGCTATGATTCGGCTAAAGCTTTGGCAATTACTAAATCAGAACCAAGCAAAGAATGGATTCTTGACTCAGGGTGCTCCTTCCATATGTGTCCTCATAAAGATCAGTTTGAGACACTCCAACTGGTAAATGGTGGAACTGTACTACTTGGAGACAATAAAGCATGCAAGGTGGTTGGTAGTGGGACAATCAGGATAAGGATGTTTGATGGAGCTGAAAGAATACTGCAACATGTCAGGTACATACCAGAACTTAAAAGGAATTTGATTTCTTTAGGAATGTTAGAATCAAGTGGCTATTCTTTTAAGGCAGAAAATGGTTGTATACGAGTAACTAAATGCTCTTTAATTGCCATAAAAGGAGTTAGAAGTAATGGTCTATATTCACTAATTGGAAGAACTGTGATTGGTAACTCGTCAAATGTAGTTCAATCTGAAACTAACAAAGCTAGACTATGGCACATGAGATTAGGACATGTAAGCGAGAGGGGCCTACAAGAACTATCTAAACATAACCTGTTAGGTGATGACAAAATTAATAAATTGGAATTTTGTGAACAATATGTGTTGGGGAAGGCATCTAGAGTAAAGTTCTCCACTGGAACTCATACAACAAAGAAACCATTAGACTATGTACACAGTGATCTATGAGGTCCTGCTAGAACACAAACACATAGATGTGGGAGGTATTTTCTGTCTGTCATAGATGATTACACTAGAAGAGTGTGGGTTTTCATTCTAAAAACAAAAGATGAAGCTTTTGAACGGTTCAAGGACTGGTTAACTCTCACTAAAAACAAGATGGAAACAAAATTGAAGCATTTGAGAACTGACAATGGCCTGGAATATTTTTTCAGAGCAGTTTAATGAGTTGTGCAGAAAAAATGGCATTACAAGGCACAAGACAGTTCGAAATACTCCTCAGCAGAATGGATTAGCCGAAAGGATGAATAGAACTCTCCTAGAGAGAGTGAGATGCATGCTACTTGTTGACGAAAATGGGTAAAGAAAACGAAAGAACACGAGAATTTTACGAGGTTCGGCAATGTGCTTACGTCCTCGGTGCCTAGGCGGCGCTAGAAGTTTTATTCAATGATATTTTAGGTCTATGTTACATCTCTATTTATAATAGAAAACCCTGGTACATAATTACAAAATCAACCCTGTACCGTACCGCGGGGGCTGCGCCCCCACACCCCCAACCCACATAATTCGTAACCCCACAACGAGACTTTTTTATGAGCCATACATAACAAATCTCCACCTTGGCGAATATCCTGCCCCTTGGAAACTTCAATGTGGGTTGGGTTACCTTGCTTCTTTAACAACTCGAAACATTCAACAAGTCCAAGCAATGCTTGAACTTGTCTGTCGTAACTGGCTTGGTGAACATATCAGCGGCATTCTCATCAGTATGTACCTTCTGAAACAAAACCTCTCCAGATGCAACCAACTCTCTGATCTTGTGGAACCTTACATCAATATGTTTAGTTCTAGCACGATACACCTGATTCTTAGCCAAGTGAATAGCACTTTGATTATCACAAAGCAACTGAACTCCACCTTGTTGAACACCCAACTCCTTCACTAAACCAGTAAGCCATAAAGCTTCTTTTGTAGCTTCAGCCGCTGCCATGTATTCAGCTTCAGTTGTAGATAGTGCCACGACAGATTGAACAGTAGACTTCCAGCAAATAGGCCCTCCACCAAGAGTAAACACATACCCTGTCGTAGATCTTCTATTATCCAAGTCACCTGCATAATCTGAATCCACATATCCTACAACCAAAGGGTTATCCCGCTGACTCCCAAAAACAATTCCATGTCCCACAGTACCCTTTAAGTACCGAAAGATCCACTTGACTGCTTCCCAATGTTGCTTACCAGGTTTAGACATGTACTTACAAACTTGACTAACAGCATGAGCTAAATCAGGACGAGTACATACCATCGCATACATCAAGCAGCCAACAGCATTAGAATACGGAACCTTTGCCATATCTTCAGCTTCCTTATCTGTCTTGGGGCACTGTTCTGATGAGAGCTTAAAGTGATTCGCCAATGGAGTGCTAACTGGTTTTGCGCTGCTCATCGCAAACCTTTCTAGCATTTTCTCAACATAACCCGTTGAGATAGCCGCAGTTTCCTTGAGTCTCTGTCCCTGCAAATTTCCATTCCAAGAATTTTCTTTGCAGCACCTAAATCTTTCATATCAAATTCCTGACTCAATAAAGTTTTCAAACCGATAACATCATCCATGTTCTTCGCAGCAATCAACATATCATCAACATACAGTAATAGAAAAATAAAAGAACCATCATCAAGGCTCTTAACATAGACACAACAATCATACTCACATCGGTTGTAGCCAATCTTGATCATATAGGAGTCAAACCGTTTATACCACTGTCTCGGAGACTGTTTTAACCCGTACAAAGATTTCTTCAATCTGCAAACTAAATGCTCGTTTCCAGGTTGAGTGAAACCTTCAGGTTGCCGCATGTAGATCTGCTCCTCTAAATCACCATGCAAAAAAGCAGTTTTAACATCCATCTGCTCTAAATGCAAATCCCAACTAGCCACCAATGCAAGTACTGCTCGGATTGAAGTGTGCCTGACCACAGGAGAAAAGATTTCATCATAATCAACTCCTTTCTGCTGTGAAAAACCCTTCGCTACCAAACGAGCCTTGAACTTCTCCCCCTCTTTTTCTGTTACTGCTGGTTTCTTCTTATACACCCATTTGCAACCAATCGGCTTCTTACCCTCAGGAAGGGGAACTAACTCCCATGTACGATTGTGATTCAAAGACTCCATCTCCTCAACCATGGCTGCCATCCACTTGTCGTTTTCCTGACTAGTAACGGCATCATGAAAAGTAAATGGATCATCATTGCTAACAGTAAGTGCAAAAGATACCAAGTCTTCAAAACCCAATCTGTTCGGAGGCTTTATATTCGTCCGTCTCACCCTGTCTCTGGCGAGACTATAATCCTGCAAATCATCCGTAGTGGAACCACCAGAAGTCGGTTGAGAAGTTTCTGGTTTCTCAACTGGAAACTGCTCGAAATCTACCACTGTCGTGTCTTGCTTCTGCTGCAACATAGACTGTTCATCAAAAACGACATCTCTACTAATCACAACTTTCTTCGCAACTGGATCCCAGAACTTGAATCCTTTGACACCTTTCTTGTAACCCAGAAAAATGCACTCCTTCGATTTTGCATCAAGTTTGGATCTCTCATCAGCAGGTACATGCACATAAGCAGGACAACCAAAAATCCGTAAGTTATCAAAACTAACATCATGACCAGTCCATACCTCTTCTGCAACTTTACCAGCCAGCGATGCCCTTGGCGATCTGTTGATAAGGTAACACGCCATGTTAACAGCCTCAGCCCAGAAGTGTTTGGGAAGCCCCGCATTCAACCGCAAACATCTGGCTCTTTCATTCAACGACCTGTTCATTCGTTCCGCAACACCATTCTGTTGTGGTGTCTTGCGTACTGTAAAATGCCTCTGAATCCCATGCTCCTTACAGAATTGTAGGAACTGTGAATCTGTGTACTCCGTACCATTATCAGACCGCAAACACTTGATTTTTCGTCCTGTTTGGTTTTCTACCTCAGCTTTCCACAGCTTGAACTTCTCAAAAACTTCAGATTTCTGTTTCAAAAAATACACCCAAACTTTCCGTGAAAAATCATCAAAAAAGTAACA